GCAGCATGTTGTGGATGTATTGGCTGTAGCAAGTCTCTGTACTTGATCTATTCCGCCAAGACATCAATATTGTCATGTACATTACCACCTCAAACTCTCAGAGAGAGAAATTACATTGTGAGATATAAAATCACAACACGAGTTTTAAAATTGCAGTTATAAGACATGAAGTCGCAAATATGAGATATAAAATCACATTTAAGGGAAATATTGTAAAATTACATTGTGAGATATAATGTTGCATGATAAAATGATGCATACAGGATATTATTACTTGCTTAGATTTGTCTGGCTGAATGAGAGCCAAGAAGTTAAAGCTTAAAGATAAAGCTGTAAAAAAAAAAAAAATCATCACCCTCTGTTGAAAGTGGTCTGCACTTTCAACTAGACTATTATCAGAAACCCTTGAAATTAAAGGCCCAGTAGTCTGATAAACCTCGCATACCCATTTAAAGAATGGATGCACATGCACTGCAGCATCAGGAAAAACATCAGCTTAACAGATACTCCACAGTCTGATGGCCCAATTACCTATTTACCTATTCACCTCTCCCCATTCAAAGAGTAAATTAATGATAAATGTGTTCTAATGTAATACTGTAGCTGCTGCAATCTGCACAATCACCAGCCCACAAAAGAAATGGAGGTGAGTCACTGCCAGCTAATTTACCATTCCCATTAAATCAATATACGCCCCCCTACTAATTACAAAGTCTTGTACAGATGCAGAATAAATGTGTCAGCATATGTAGATCTCAAATCCTGTTTTTCTTTATGTTCTCACATAGACCTTAAGCTCAATTTCACACTAGTTTGTTATCTGGTTTATTATACAAATATTTGCATTTTGCATGGATTCTGATTTTATTGTCTTTGTATTTATATTCAGTTAAGCAATAAACTAGTTAATATTATCAATAATATTATGTGGCTGTATATATTTCTTCATCTTCTTCGTTTTTTGTAAAGCTGCTTTAGAATAACAAGTATTGTAAAAAGCACTTAATTGAATGGATTTTGAAATAACACTTGGTTTTTCTTCAACATACAGGTCAAGTTTGTTGTTTCGCTCTTCGCTTGCTTTGCTCACTTTCCAACAACAATTGAGCTTTAAAACAGCCTTACATGCACTGACAAGTCTATTCTCATTAGACAATCACATGAAAGGGTTATAATATTTGATGCGTCCTTTGAGCAACAGCACAATCTGGTCCCACTGCTGTCGTTTTGCCGTTCTTCTGTGAAAGGCTCTGACATCCTGAAAAGAATGACTGATTAAAGCTCTTCTTTTGCCAGATGTATTGATATACGACAGGCAGCATGTATAATGCCCCTTCAAGCAAACGTACATACTCTGAGACAGAATGTTTCAGTCGTTAAACACAATTAGTTACAGTCCGTTTGAATAAAGCAGAACCAGCAACAACTCTGAACAAAACTGTTTCTATGAGACAAAGTATTAATTTTCACCATTATTATCCATATATAAACAATATAAAAATTTTTGCTAAAATAATTTCTGGTAACACTTTACTTAAAGCCTTAATATGTAATGCATTATAAAAGTAGTTTTAATGCATTAATTATGCCTTGTAATGCATAATGCATTGTACAGTCGCATGAATAATTGTAACCACAGTTAATACATTATAACACTTATCAATTCGTTACACTATACATTTTAAATTCGGTTCTAATTATTTTCGACAATATATTATGTATTACAACGCACATTATAAATAATTATAATGCATTTTACCTTTTAATAGCCCTTTATAGTGCATTATACATAAAAGCTTTAAGTAAAGTGATGCCGAATTTCTTTTCTATTCTATCATTTACTGTATATTAAAAAAAAGTGTATTACCAATATATGATTCAATGATAAAGTAGAGAGCTAAAATGTCAATACAGGTTTTATTATTTTCTATTATTTATCTGTTTTAGATTTTTTTTTTAAAAAGTAAATAAAAATGAATAAACTTCACTGCTCTTTCTATCTCTTTTGAATCATAGAGTAAAGTAATCCACACACACCACTTTTTAAATATGCATTCATGGCAGTTTTAAGCATGTATTATTAATTTAAATATGTATTAGCAAAACTCCTTATATAAATATATACATCTTTTCAGTAATCTAGACTTTCCTTCATTGCTCCAATAATCTTGAGCTTGGAAGTGAGTTTGACATTTATACTATGTTCAATTTGTAGCTTTGTAGAGTTACAACAATAAAATTAAAACCATAAAATGACAGCAGGATGTTCTTTGCATGAAATATTTGTTTTAGGGACACTGTTAAGCTGTAGCTGTTTCTAAACTGCAGTTTTGTGAGTCACCAACAGTTGGCCAATCCTTGTGTGAAAGTTCATTGAGGAAACCTAAATATACTTCCCAGACCAGATGAGGGTTAAAGCATTTGGACTTAAAGGCACAATATGTAAGATTTTTTTATTAAAATATCCAAAAACCACTAGAACAGTGTTATATATTTTGCTGACTTGTGTACTTACATTATCCCAAATGTTTCGAAAAATGTTTAAATCCAGAGAAATAAGCAATTTTAACTAGTGACACGGACTGTGTCCATAGTGTCATAGTGTCGCCTGCCAATGACGT